CAGCAGCACCAGCACCAGCAGCGGCGGGCGGGACACGGCGGCGGGCGGGACGGGGACGGGGGCGAGGGCGGCGGAGATGTCGGCGGTGGCGTCGATGGCGGTGGCGTCGATGGCGGTGCGGATGCAGAGCGCCGGGCAGCAGCGGCGCATGGGGCGGGCGCCGCCGCCGGCCGGGCACGGGGGGAGCGGCGGAGGCGGTGGCGGGGCGGGGAGAGGGCGTGGGGCGGCGGGCGGGGCCGGCACGGATGGGGGAGGATGGAGGGCGATGCGAGCGGGGGCGAGGGGGTGATCCCGAAGGGGGCGATCCCTGAGGGGAAGATCCTTGAGGAGGATRGGGGTCCATCCCTGAGGGGCGCTTTTCGGGATGAGGGGGCGACCTCTGAGAGTGATGAGGGGCGATCCCGATCTCTGAGGGGCACTTTTGAGGGTAAGGGGGCATTTGCTTGACCAACAACATAGGAGAGCAATCCCTGAGGGGCAGTTTGGGGAGAAGAGTCCCTGAGGAACCAGTGTGGAGGAGTGAGAAGGGCAGTTTTGGTAGGCCATCCCTGGGGGCAGTTTGAGGGGTGAAGGGGTGATCCCTGAAAAGGACGACCGCTGTTCCTGAGGGGCAGTTTGAGGGACAAAGGGGGTGATCTTGAGGAGGTGAGGGTCGAWCCCTGAGGGGCAGTTTTGAGGATAAGAGATCGATCCCTGACGGGGAGTAAGGGATCCATAAGGGGGTGATCCCTGAAGAGGATGAGGGGCCAAACCTGAAGGACAGTTTTGAGGATAAGGGGGCATTTCCYTGAGGAGAAACGTTGAGGGGGCAGCAAAAAGAGCAATCCCCGGGGGGGCAGTGTTGGGGATGAGGGATGATCCCTGTAGAGGAGGATGACAGCACATCTCTGAGGAGAATGGGGCCATCTTCTGTGGGAGTTTTGGGGATGAAGGACCATCTCCGAGGAGCATGAGGGGGCAGTCTCTGAGGGGCAGTTTTGGGGGACAAAKGAGTGATTCCCTGAGGAGCAATGTGGGGGAGTGATRGGAGCAATCCCTGAGGGGYAGTTTTGGGGAAGCATTTCCATGAGAAGCAGTAGCAGGGGAGAGGGGAGCAATCCCTAAGGAGTGTTTTAGAGTCGTGAGAGGACAGTTCCCTGAGGAACAATGTGGGGGAGTGACAGAAGCAATCCCTGAAAAGCAGTTTGGGAGATAAGGGGGTGATTCCATGAGGGGACAAAGGGGAGCAATCCCTGAGGGGCAATATTGAGGGATAAAGGGAGCATCCTGTGAAAAAGCTCATTCTGAGGAGGATGAGGGAGGAGGGGACCCAGAAAACACTTTGTGAAGGATGAGAAAGGGAGGTGCAATTCATACAGTTAAGGGTCTGAAGGGGGTCATTGCTGGGGGTGAGGAGCTCAGGGAGGTTTGGGCCACGGAGAGGTGGAGGTAAAGTGGGGCTTTTTCCTTCATGCTCTCACACACCAGCCATTCCTCTACAGCCGACCCAGGCCTCTGCCATCGCCAGACCCCTGCTTTGTGTCCAGTAATTCCTCACAATGATCAGCTCAGAGTTACTGGCTGCTGCTGCTGCTGCTGACACAGGCTCGGAGCACCATGGGATGCCACATTGCCAGGCCCACCACAGATATTACCCTGCACAGACTAGAGAGCCACAGCACCCTGATCCCTCACCTGGTCATGGCCTGCTCCTCCCGAGATCCTATTGGGTCTGCTGAGCCAGAAACCACTGGCCAGTGTTGTCCCCAACGATGGCACATCCTCGCCAGGCAGCATGAGGTGGTGCCGGGGCAGGAGCCGTCTGCAAAGCAGAAGATTAATTAAGAGGCTGTGCCACTGCCTTGCTGTGATCTCAGTAAGTGAACCGTTAAAGTGATTTATTCTTCACAGGGTAATTACATTCCCCCTCTCTCTGTTATCTGTCCCCTGATCTGTGCTGCACACACATCCAGTCRGGAGCAGGCGTGTGGTCCGTGAGCCAATGTGTCAGGGAGGACATGGCCTGGCTGCCCCTTCTGCTTCCTGTGCCTTGGCATTACAGCTTCTGTAACACACACAGATGTGCTGTTTGTATGGACTGTGTGCTGTTTGTATGGATTGTGTGCTGTCTGTATGGATTTTACGCTGTTTTGTATGGATTTTACGCTTCAGACCCTCACACRGCTCTGGGATCTCCCCATGAACCACTATGGCTGGACACAGCAGTGATGCCACACTACAAATTTTGATTGAGAGCTTCCAGCCTGGCTTTGTATTGTGTTGTCAGTACCCATTTCTGCTGCATTCTGTGCTGCCAGGTTTCKTGCTGCATTTTTAAAGCTGCTGTTCACATGGACAAGTTTTGGGAAACTCCTGTGCAGAGTCCAGAGCTCCCATCCTTACAGTCCCTGTGCAGGCAGGAATGAGTAGGAGCCTTTAGAATCAGAGAACCACGGAACCATAGAATTATTAACATTGGAAAAAGTCTTTAAAATCATTAAATGCAACTGTTAGCCCCAGTACCATTACTGTGTTCACAACTAAACCATGTCACATCCACACGTTGTTTGAACACTTCCAGGGCCAGAAACACAGCATTCTAGAGTATTTATTTAGAGTATTAAAAAATCACATTTTTCAGAGGAACGGTCCTTTTTCCCATGAAATCTTTCCTTTATTAACAACAAWCAAACATTCAATACAGCCATATTCTCTCTTAAAAGGCTGCATCCTTTACTCTTTCACACCATTTRCTCAGCACATCACCCCCACCTTGCTGGCGCAGCTGCTTCTACACATTTCAGCGTCACACTTTTCCCTCGGGGCCGTACAGCCTGGCCGCCCGCCCGCTCCTGCTCAGGCCTGTCCTCTTTCGGATGCTCCTTTCAGCCCAGAAACATTAGAGGGAGCTGTAGACTCGCTGTGCCTGGCTGRATGGTTGGACGCGGCTGGTGGCTGGCAGGGATGGCCTGGAGCCTCATCCCAAGGGCTGGGGGTTACTGGCTATGATCCCGCATTTCTMCAGCTCGAGGAGTGCTGCAGGAGTGTCACTGCGGGGCTCCTGCCCTGCCTGGGCGGTGCAGAATTACCCAGCCTAACCCATTCTGCTGATAGAGGCTGAAGCCTCTCTGCCGTAGCATTCCCTGATCCCAAATCCCATCAAATCCATGGCCATCCTTGAGAAACTGGTGTCTCCAAGGGGTTGGTGTGCCTGTCAGGGTGGACAGGTGCTTCTCTATCACATGGGGAGGGTTTTCAGCACCCATTCGATCTCAATCTTTCCAGCAYCACCACCTGCTCACCGTGCTGTACCTGCCAACCTGCATGAGATAGATCCTGATTTTTCAGCCCATGATGAACTAAATAGGGGTGTTTGTGTCATGGCAGGAGCCAGAGGCTTGACTCTGGACCAGTGTAAGGAAACACAACCATGGAAGTAAGAGATAATACAGGTAGCACAGAGGTCTGTGTGGGACACTCACTGTGGTGCTGTGCAATGGGGTGAGGCGTTTGCTGCAGCAACCCTGCACCMCAGTGATTAGTGGGGTGTTAGACCAGAGAAACAAAAAGATGAGTGTCCAACAGGAGACCTTACTGTCCCAAAAATAAACCTAGRAACAAACACTCCTATAAAAGTCCCAGCGTCATTATTTCTGGATCTGGTAGCCAACAGATTCCTTCAGAGATCAGGCACTGAGCAAAGGCAGCACTGTTTTAGTTGGGGCAGTCACAGTGTGAGYGAGTGCCTCCCCCAGCAGTAACACTGGAGTTCAGCTGGTTGGGGTGAAAGCTGATCCCACATCGAGGGCTGGAAATGAAAGGTCTCACAAGGCTACGAGCAGCTGAAATTAAACCCACAGAACCAGTGTGCTCAGAGTTGGATGGCAGAGAACATCTGGCCTTTCTTCACCTGGTGGAGGCAGAAAAATCCATTTAGAATGTGTGCTCCGAGCAAAAGCAGGAAATGTTTTTTCCAAGCAAAATCCAGGCAGAGGCAGCTCTCTCCTGCCTGAGCAGCTCACGCAGAGGAGGTGTTTTAGGATGTAAGGAAGCTCCGAGGAAGACAGCATGGCAAAGACACAGACAATGCCGAGTGTGAGTCAGAGGACAGCAAASTGGGACCTGCCAAACCCTGGGCCTTAGCACCAAACCTTGATCTAAAGCTCCAGCTGGGTGAGAAGGTGACTCACATGGCCCAGGACCTGCTCCAGCCATGGGCACAGGTCTCCTGGATTTTGGGAAAACCTGACCCTGCTCTGCTCCTGCTGACTGACCACAACTCCCAATGCCCGTGCAATTCCACCCAGAGCTGAAAACCTGTGGGAAAGCCAGACCTGCACCCTGTGGCTCTCCAAAAGTCACACTTCACCATTCAAAAACACAAACAAGACTGACCAAGRCCTTTTCCAGACAGTGGAGGAAACRGATGTGCCATGCTGCACCAGTGCCACTGAGGCTCCTGGTGCAGAGGGACCAGCCACAGGAAACACAGGCAGGGCCAGACCTGTGTGCTGGGCTCTGCTGGGGTGCACATCACACCCCGAGGTGACTTCAGAGAGAGAACCTGCACACACCAGTCCAAACACACCAAAAYGGCACATTCTACCAAAAAAAACCCTCAAATTGGTTTGGTTTGGTTGCTAGGACAGGAGAAGTGATTCTCTGCAAAATGCACAAGGGTTCTTTCCTTTTCTGCCTCACACCAGGAAACACTGTAAAAGCACTGAAAGGAGAATTAAATCTTTTTTGATCCCAAACAGCTGTTTTGAATCAAAAAATACTTCACACCTTCCACTCCACACATCCAATGTGGGTTTGGTGTTCACTGATAGTTCAGGGGTGTTCACTGATAGTTCAGGAGAGTCATCTGCTCTGAGGGAATGCATGTTTCTCACTCCAGGGTTGTTTTTTGGGCAGATACGGAATCGAAACCTTGGCTAATCACCCAGATCATCATCTGTCACCGGAAGAGAAAGGCTCAGACCCAAAATACTGAGGACACTTCATCTTCCCTCCTGTCCAACTGCSTCAGTGCCCTGGGCTGAAGCCAGGTGTGACCCCACCAGCCAARGTGTGACCCCACTGGCCACCCCAGCACTGCAGCCACTCAGATCTGCTTGTGACCTGATGGCTCCATGAAATCCTGAGAAGAGGMAAACTGGCACAAGCCACCACATCACCCAAAGCCTGGCTGACCCRCTATGTCACGCCGGTGGCTCTGCAGTGGCCCTTTTGCTCCAGGCCAGCATGGGCAACATCAGCATTGCTGCTGCTGCGGGGCTTTTCTCCAATGCAAATCCACGCCAGGGTATTTATAGCRCCCTTATCCTGGCAGAGCCTATTTTGGGCTGATGCTCAGGCACCAGAGCAGCACAGGTTATTTTAACCCAGCGCTGGGTTATTTTCGGAGCTGCCCTTCTCCGCACGTGCTCAGGAATGGTTTCCAACTACCAGGCACTTTYTGGGGTTGGGGAAACTGGGGAAGGGGGARAAGAGGGACCATGYGAAGGAATTTCAGAAATAAAACTTAAACCAGCACCTGCAGCAAGGYTGCCTTTGACACACCTGTCTGGGATCCACCTGGTGTCTTGGAAGGAGGATTGTCTGCGGGATAGCCCATGAGCAAAAGGCAGGAGAGGAAAAGTTTTGGAGCACATAGCTGAGGACCCAATGATGGTGAGGCAATTTGCAAGAGAGTAAGAAGAGCCAAGAGCTGGATGCTCCAAAAATGTCCAGGGTCACCAGCTGGTGGCCTCAGGCCCAGGAGGGAGCAATGGTTTTGTTCAACAGAGGCAGGAACAGCACCATGGGATGGGACATGCTGCTCATCCTCTGCATCCAGGRACCCCCAGCTCTGTTCTCACCATATGCCATCCTGGAACAGCCAGGGAGGGGAGCCTTCTGGAGCCATTCTGTCTGGATCCAGGGTGCAACTGCACCATTTACCAAGCAGTGAGCATGGATTCTCATCAGTGTATTGCAGTGGGGCTCTCTCAGCTCAGAACTGGGAGCAGCAGCTAATCCACGGCAGAGCCAACAGCCCATTCCCAAAACTGGAGGTGCCATGGATAGGGGTCTGCCAGGGCACCAACATCATAGCAATAGCATCCAGAGGGTTCCAGCTCCACCCWCAGCATAGCAGCAGGGCTGGAGAAGTCAGGAATTTTTTTAATTCCACAAGGTCTTGCCTTGTCCATGTAAGAAAGCTCAGCAGGGCCCTTTTCTCACACCCTGATCCCCAGCCTCCAATCCCCACTGCTTTCCCTACCCCACCACACAATTTCCTCTTGCCTCAGTGTCCCCCTCTGCCCCCGACCAGTGGAGGTGTGGGTGGGATGTGCCAGGGGTGTCTCTGGGGGTGGCAGGGCAGTCCCAAGGCTGCTGGATGCAGCTGGCAGGGAGCTCAGCCCTGCCCTGTGACCTCCAGCTCCCAYTGGGATTCAGCGGATCACACCATCCCGCTGGGGAAAGTGAGTCAGGGCCTGAGCCGCTGCCAGCCCCTATTCCTGGCATCCCACCCCAGCAACGCTCCCCAGGGGCCAGCAGCAGGCTGGGAAGGAGCAAGAAAATATTGGGAGAGATTATGGGGGGAGGCCCCTTTGGATGGAGTGTAACCCAACCCCCCAACTTGCCCAAKATCCTCCCCCAGCTTGCCCCACCTGCCACAGCCACTTACCCACCACATAGGTCTCAATGCATTTTTATTAAATTCTTACAAAACAGAATACAAAATTCTGGCATCAACAATTGTTATAAAGGAAAACTTCAATTCAGCTGTATCAGGTCACCTGGTACATACAGTAAAGTGCTTCTTTTTGTGTG